TTGTTAGATTTTGCGATTACTAAAATTTGTGGAAACCTAACCAAAATAAGCGATTTTTTGCAGTCAAGTAATAGGGTTAGAAGGCGTGCTGATGAGGCAAATTCTGCGAGAGAAAAGAAATGTATTACTGGCCGGCTAGCTCACCTTGGCTGGCGGGGGTTAGCCTGAATCAAATGGCAATCGTTAATAGGGTTATATATTAAAGTAATACTTACTCTTCGAGCCGACCGATTTCATGGAGTGTCGGCTGTAGTTGTTGCCGGGCTCGGTGTGGATGGCAGATTCGATTTTGTCCTGGAAAGGGACGTTTGCTCAAAATAGTCCGAAAGTTAACTTTCGGCACCTTGTCGAGACCTAGTCAACGCGAGGGGGTCGATTTTGGCACTTTCGAGCCATTTCGAACACAAAAAGAAGCTTTTTTTCTAGCCTTAACAACCCGGTTTCAAGGCAGGATACAAGAAATCAAGTCAGGACTTGTCGAAATTGCTTTTTAAGCTTTAAAATATCAGATACAAAACTTTTGCTTGGCTTTAAGCTTTAGGCTCGGAAAAAAGATAGCAAGCACGCAAGCGTGACAGCTATGACATGGAAAGCAACATAGGCCTCAGGCGTCAGCATCCTGCTGCTGATCACCCCAGGCAAGACAGTGATTACAGAAACAACCAAGCAACCCAAGCCAAGGCAGTGTAGCGCGCAAAAGCCGTCGTGAGGCCGGGTCTCAACACCCACCGCCTGTGAAGGAGCATGCACCACATCCGCCATGGTCACCACCGCCACGGCCGGACTCTCACTGCACGCGCTGCTCACCGAGGAATCGGATAATCTCCGGGGGCGCACCATCATTTGGGTGGCTGCTTGACGGTCGGACCTGAATTCGTAGAGTAGTTTTTAGAATTTCATGAGCTTCAAATGACGTCATCAACTGTGTCGTCGCTGCGCCGTAAAAAACCCTTGCAAAAACCTACCTCTGCTGCGTAGCATTTTGGAGAACTGACGTCAAATGCTCGACTAGCCGCTTGAATCTTCTGACAGGGCCAGCAAGAAGTGAGAACTGTACGACGTACATTGGAGCTTCACCGGGGAGTTGTTGCGTACTGTTGATGATATCAACCTGAAAAATGATTTAAGGTATCGATTCTCTTAGCTTACGTTCATTTTGACGCCTCGACTAAACACACTTCCACCATAGGTTGGTCCTCGCTTGTACTCGACCCGGAAGGAATTCTGCCCGACGACGGAGTGGGAGAGCTCGTGGATCTGAAATTTTTGGACGTCAGAATTCTGAAGAGGCTGCTATCTTCGAAAGCTCAGAATACAGGTTAGAACTTACAGTCAAAAATGCTCGTATCAATTCCGCCTTGATGCCGTTCAACGTCCTCCCTTGCACCGGTACACAATGCGTATCCTCACGCTCCACGCTCATTGACGACGTCAAAGATCCGAACCATGACTTTTTGACGAGACTGAACGAGTCAATTAACGTTATTCAACTGCTCCTTACTCAGTAGTATCCAAAATTTGGCTGTCCTCCGTGTCGCTCTCCTGCCCGTTGCTCATCTTTCTTCGATGGAACCTTGGCGTTCCCATGATCGAGTTCTTGATGTTGGATAGCTTCATCCTCCACGGGCCTGACGACGAGCCGAGTTGATTCTGACTGTTGCCTAAAGGGATTCCAGTTTATTGTGTTTTTTATGGAGTTCTTGCCTGTAATCAAACTATTCGTGCTCGACGCATTCGATGTCATTCCGGCCCCTATCGAGAGTGTCGAGTCCATCATCGGGTTGACAGTCTGCGCATAGGAGGGTGACGTAGCGTTCGAGGAATTCGCCGTTCTGGATGTTTCCGCTTGGGCTTGCTTTTCGGACTGTCGTTCCTGGAATTCCTGTTCACTATTGGAGATCAGTACGTACCTGTTGCTCCCGAGCCTGCCTGACATTTCGGGCAGCTGCGGCAAGCGTTTCCGGATCGACCGGCTGGGTGTAGTAGTGGTATTGGTTTTGAGCACGTGTAGTTGTTCGGCCCCGGTCTTCGAAACCTAGAGACATTGGAGTTCGAGCAAGTATCCAAATCTGGCAAACTCAGGCAAAGGCCTAAGCCTAAGCGTAAGCCTTAAGCTAGCCCTAAGCCCACCCATAAGCTTAGGCTTCAGCTTAAGTAGAAACCCGGCCCACTCCCAAAGTTAAGCTAAGATCCAACGCTTACCTCTAGCCGAATAACTGCTATTACTGTTGCTATTCGAAGAGAAGTTGAAGAGATCCCTAGTTGATGCCCGCGGCGATTCATTTGGCGACCCGCCAAGTGAGGAATGCCGGCCGCTCTTGTAGCGTCCATAGGTTTTTCGAGGATTGATCGGGCTCCCATCAGCGATACTTCCCACAGCGTACCTTAAATGACAACATAAGCATTTTTTGAGCATTTTTTTGAGCATAAGCATTTTACACTGAGGCCTCAAGCATTTTTTAGGCATCAATAAGGCATTAGTAACTTACCTATTCGGTCGTTGACTATCCGTCCTCTTCCTTGGCGGATCGGCGTTCACTACAGAACCTCGTAGAACTACTTCAGTGTCATCTTCCTGCGCTGGTCGCCTCCGTTTCCGGTCCAGCAACAGGAAATAGACCATTTTCTCGGTGTTATGCCTAAAAAAATTTTTTTGGTCTCAATATACCTTAAGATACCTTGGTGAGAGCAATTCTCTGACGAGCTTGTCCTTATCCTTGAAGCATCCTAAGTTGTTCATATGCCGGAAAACATCGGGGTCGATGCTTTCCTCGGAGGGGATGATGTGTGTCTAAAAATTGGGGCTTAGAGGGGCTATGAAAGCAAAGGTTTATGTGTTTTTCTCATAACGGCAGATATCAGTTTTTCAGAAAGGGAGAGAGAGAGAGAGAGCGAGAGAGAGAGAGAGAGAACTCTGCGTACCTGCACAACTTGTCCCATTGGCAACTCTAATTCCGGATCGCTGCGGGAGCTTCCAGCCACCCAGGGATGCTTGAAAACTTCGGCCAGCTATAAAAAGCGCTTAGATCTTCTCAAACTATTGAATAAAAACTCAATATAAAATATAGCAAAAGCATAAAATTATGCAACAACCCACCGATAACCTCTTTTGCGGATCAACCTCAATCATCGACCGCAACAAATTCTGGCAATCCGTCGGCACAAAGTGCGGGATGTGGAAAACCCCCTTTTTCACTTTTTCAAGCAAATTCCGGAGGTTGTCGTCATCGAAGGGGAGTGCGCCCTAGAATTCGTAGTAAGGTTTGCGCCAAAATAGCCTTACCACTAACAAGGCGTAGAGGATAACGCCGCAACTCCAGACATCCGCTTTTCGACCGTCGTACTTTTCGCCCTTAAAATTCTGCTATCGGAAAACCTAAGCTTTCATACTCTGATAACTTCCGGACAGGCATAATGCGGGGAGCCACAGCTTGTCTCGAGCATCGAGCCTTCGACTTGGAGGGAGGCCATTCCGAAGTCGGCGACCTCAAATTATTTGATTCGAAACGAGAGATAGAGAGAGAGAGAGAGAGAGAGAGAGAGAGAGAGAGCGAGAGAAAGAGAACAAGGCACGCGGCGCAATCGTAAGCTCCGAAACGGAGAAAATCACAAACCTTAATATTGTTCCTTTCATCTAGCAACAGATTTTCGGGCTTCAAGTCACGATGACTAAAAATAAATTTATAAATAAAGATAGCTCTCGCTTCTTCTTACCAAATATTATGCGCATGGCAAAAGTCCAGTGCCGAGATGATTTGGCGGAAGAATTTCCTTGCTTCCTTTGACATGAGTCGTCCCTTTCGGACCAGATAATCGAATAGCTCGCCGCCGGAGACGTGCTCCAGGAGTAAATACCTACATTCATATTTAATAATAGGTGGTATTTCTCACAAATATTTCTTATTCTCATAGACATCGAAGAGGTGGAGGACGTGGGGGTGCTCGATGAGCTTCATGATTGCAATTTCACGTTCCACCTGAAAAAAAATTGAGATTTGTTTTGCCCAATTGGCGTCCACTTTCTGCAAATTATGTTTTCGGGTAACGGAAACAGTTGTAATTTATAATTTTTTGATATTCAGGGGTATTCGGCAGTTTTTCCTTTGTATTTCGCCGCAAGCGCGGCACGCAATGCGCACGCGCACGTAACATTAAGTGAAATCATTCCATTACGCCATGAATCTAGGGCGCGCGCGTCGCGTATCGCTGCAAACAGAAGCAAATTCTTAGCCAAACATCTTTAGTCGTGCCTTCCCGGTTCCTTTCAAGTGCCGGAGATCCCCTAAAAAGCACCAAATTATTTTTCATGCCTCCCCAGTTCTAGTTCTCTGTTTCAGTAAACCCTCACCCAACTGGGAGGACCCCAGGTTGATGAACGAATCGTTCTTCTCGTCAACCCCCCGGAATGCCTAATCCCTTTTTTTGTGGCTGGGTAGAAGGGGGAGAAAAAGCAGTAGCCCCACCAGTAAAGTGTTCCCCCGGCAGCAGCCACTGGCCACAGCGAATCCTCAAAACAAGAACGCCCCATGGTTTTCTAGTCTGGATCAGAGAACCGGGGTGAGATAATCGCTGTCCAGAGGTGTGTGGGTAAGGAGGTGTAGTAAACAGGTCATTGTTGATTTCATAATTTTTGAAACGCGAAATAAGCTAATTGACCGAAGAAAATCTGCGACTTCAAACTACGTGGCGCTTAAAAACACCAAAATCGATGGGTAAGTGCAAGGTGTCCCAATCAAAAACACCATGTTAATCAAAGTATCGAATCGGAATTATAGTTACACCATTCAAAAGTCATCGAAACGGCACGTTTGCAACAATTTGAAAGCTATGTATTTATCTAAATGTGTTATTTTACAAAAATAACATTTAGGAATGGTCTCTGGATCTATCGGGTACTTCCGATAATTTTGCTTAGCGAAATTTAAGCAATTAGCTCGTATGCAACGTCGAAAAACCGTAAAATCCTCAAAAAAATGGCTTGCAAAACAGCGCATTTAGATAAAAACACAGATTTTAAATTTGTTGCAAACTGGCCGTTTCAAGGGCTTCTGAATCGGGTAACCATCATTCCGGCCCGATACTTCTGCGTCGAGTTAAAGATGTTTTTTTTATGGGATGCTTTTCGTGTATTTTGTCTTTATAGCGAATTCCAAGGAACTGGGAAGGAACATGCAGAATTTTCTAGATATTGCTGTAATTCCTGGAGGCCCGCAACACGCAACGCGACAAGCAACGCGACTAGGGTTGTTATATGAGTTGGCTTGCAGGCAAATTTGTTTGCATGAAAATTTCGTAGGCAACTGATTGCCCTCTAGATGACTCGTCAGTTTTTTACTCAAATGCCAGCAAACAATTTTTCCATAAGCAAAATTGTAAGTCAAATTCAACTCGTTATTCATATTGTTTGTCGGGCAAGTTATTCAAATGCACTCAAACAATTTTGGCCGTGAGTAAACTCGGCGCCGAGTTGTTGTTTGATTGCTAAATTGTTTGCCGGAAGTTGCAGGCATGCTAATTTACGCAAGAAAATCAAAAAAATGTTTGCACCGAACATCAGTAATCGATTGCAGAGCACGATACATCTTACAAAGCTTGTTTTATTTGCATAATTTCGTCATTTGGTGTGGTGCGTGATACTGAGCTACCAATTATTGCCAAATTGAAAAATTATTGTTCAAAACACTTCGCCAACGGATGGCGGGCCGCAGTCGTCGGAAAAGCCAGAAAGGTATGTTGCATTCTGAACACTGAGCTGAGCACGCCTTGAGGCCCCAAAGAGCGCCCAGCAGTGCAAGCCTCGATGGAAGTTTGCGTCACAACCCGGTCTTGATCGCCGCCGCGGCCATCGACCCAAGCTATGCGTTCGATCAAGTGCTGTTCACCGGCCCAGAATTAGCCGAGCACACGGACGGATTATTTCAATTTCTTGCTGGTAATTTTCGCTGACCACTCATTATTTCGTAGATCATAATTTATTTCCGAAAAACGCCGACGAGATGGGCTCACCTGCAAAGCGATCGCAGCTGACCGTCAAGGTAATTTTTTCTTGCCGCAAGTCAAATCGACTGTTGCAGCCCGATCCGGATCCTTTTGGTTTTCTCTACAAAGCGCGCGTTGATGATGTTGCGGATGAGCAACCAGCGGACAAAGACCTCGCTTTCCAGGCTAGTCTTTTTCTTCAGCGCAGCAATCGTGAATTTAGAGAGAAATGGAGGCTTTTCAACGCATCGTAAATAAAAAGGCAGGCCCTTCAATCGCTGAGAGCGCCGGATACGCCATTGATTTCTGGAGATCAATGCGACGTCATTGCCCCGTTTTATATCAGTTGGTCAATTCTTTATACCGCAACCTCTTCAGGGGCGCCAAGCATCTCCTCGCGCTACCGGCGAGTAGCGGCGACTGTGAGCGCCTCTTTTCACGGGCCGGCATTATCTACTCCAACCGTCTGAGATCCCGGCTGCGCGGACAGACGGCCGAAAAACTGTTGCTAATCTCGTGCCGCGGAGTAGATGAGCGCTCACACAAGCTCCGGTACCAACAAAAATCATAAAACCTATCAATCACGTCTAAGGGCGCAATCAGCTGTGTTTTAGGACTGAATTTATAGCTGCGTTTATAGAAACATCTACGTGCATCAGCCTTTTCCCGCACTTTCTCGGATCGAAGCTGAAAACGAAGAGATTCTGGCTTTGAAAGAAGAGGTGGCCTCAAAAACCCTACTTATGACCACTTTTGGTTTAGGACCCAGAACTGTACCAGGCTGTGCTTGCCACACTACCCGACGACGATCAGTTGCACCAGAAATACGAATTTGAATGAATTTTTGCCCTCTTTCTCTATGCCTCGCTCGTCTTTCTTCTTGGGGTCAATAAATATTTTTGGTGTTTGTTGAAATAAAATTACAAATTAGCATGCCTGCAACTTCCGGCAAACAATTTAGCAATCAAACAACAACTCGGCGCCGAGTTTACTCACGGCCAAAATTGTTTGTGACATTTGAATAAATTTCCCGACAAACAATACGAATATCGAGTTGAGTTTGACTTTCGAATTTCCTTATGAGAAAATTGTTTGCCGTCATTTGAACAACGGAACCGTAAAATAAATTTGCCTGCAAGCCAACTCATATAACAACCCTAAACGCGACATACGACGCGACACACAACGTGACACGCGACGCAGCGGGAAAAATCGATAGGCTGCGATAGCGTTGCCTTGTGGGGCCCGTAAAAAGCATGTTCCTTCATTTTTTGAGGAATCAACAAGGTTTAAAAAGTTTAATTCATCGATTTTTCGCCCCTCCTCAATTATTTCTTGCTTACCTTCTGCAACACTGACTCGCTGAGCTTCTCCTTGTTCACAATCTTGATGGCCACCTTGCGCCCCGAGATGCAGTGCGTTCCCGTTTTGACCAAACCTGAAAAGGGAATTCTTCTATTTTTTTTTCCGCAACGCCCATCACCCCATGAATTTTGAAGCGGTACTTCTTGCTTCCCATCCGAGGCCCAGTGACGCCGTAATATACCCAAGAGACGCGCCAAGGGAAGAGAGACTAATTTTGCGTCAGCACTTTTTAGTCAAGTACCAGGGGGAGGGGGGTTGTTTGGGGGTCTGCAAGTTGCAGGTGTATTTTGGGAAACGACGAAAATAGCATTCCAGGCTTTTAAAGGTATCGGGAAGTTGAAGATGCAATGGGATCGATCGCGGTAAATATTTTGGACTTGTCGAAAATCATTCTGTTCAAATTTCATGGTGTCGAAGATTTGTCGTGTTGGAAACCCTTTGTTCAAACTGCATGTTGTCGAAATTTCATTTCCTAAACAGCTATTTTGCCGAAATTTCAATACGCTCCATTTCAGGTTTCGTAATTATTCATCTCCAACGTCCAGATTAAAGTTAAAGTTATGTGAGAATTTCGACAAAATCAAAGATTTGTAGAATAGCCCTATTTTAGACCGCTGAAAAATTAAATTTATTATATTTAATAAGTTCTATAAGATTTGGAAAGTACGAAATAGGCTCACGAATTTCACCCTTTATGCAGCGGAACTTCGTCGCAAATTGCTAAATTACAATTTCGAGCGGGATTTTGAGGTTTTCGTTCTATTACTTCCCTCGAAATATGTAGAAAACTTCGATTACAGCTCTAGGGTATCAGGCAATTACCGGAATCATTAAAAAATTCAATTTTACGAGGTATTAACATTTTTTTGCGGTATTCCCAGAGGTCCCTGCTGTTTTGCACTCTAAATTCATTCAAGCAAGTTTTCAAAGTTCCCACGCCTCAAATCCAGCTTCTACTCGTCTCCCCCCACATCCCATTTTGCGTCTAGCCGGCCGGGGAAGTGGGGAAGATGCGAGAAACGGCTGGGGCTGGCTAGTTGTCCAGCGGGCCCTTACCCCCAACACCCGGATTTATGGGAAGGGCCCAGACCTCCAGCTTCACCCGGCTTCTTCCTGAACAATGCTCCCCTGGGGACCCGCCGGGGGGCCCACACAAACGCACACAAAACGGCGCTTTAGGTACTACCCCCATCCGAGAAAAGCGGAACTGCGATGGTTCAGGGGTTTGGGTGTATGATCGAGTGTTTTGGCATGGAGGTGAGCTTCAGAGGGTGCCGAAAGTTGCAAAAATGTTGCAAAACAGGGGTTTGAAGCTGAAAATTTCTAAAACAGGATATAGCCTTATATCAAAGTGTAAAAAGCTAAAAACAACAATTGAGCGTGAATTACGAGTTGTAAAATTAGTATAAAAACCATACAATCGTAATTTATCCAGCAATTTTCGCGGTTTTGCGTCCTGAATTCACTTTTTAAGAAGTACACTGGATTGCAATTTAAAAAAGAAGATAGTTTTTCTCGCCCCTTTTTAAGCAGTTTTCTTTGAGTTTTTAAAAGTGGATTCTTTTCTAGGATTTCAGGCCAAGCAGCTGCGGAAATTGACATTTTTTAGGGGCATACCGTACAACAATTCTATAAAAAGTCTGACCCTAATTTTTCTAGTCCTTTTTTGCCACATTTGACCCTGTCTTGCATCAGAAAATGACCAGCTGTAGGGTGATGCCCCCACCCACATCAGTCCCTTCCCGGCGCCCTCCCCCACCCGGGGGTATAGCTCAGTGGTAGAGCAATCGGCTGCAGTCCGATAGGTCCATGGTTCAACTCCGTGTGCCCCCTACTCCTTTTTGCTTTTTGGGGAGAGGTTTCCTCGCGACCGAGCGAAAAAGGCTATGATTTTACTTTTGCTTCGATTTCTTTTAGGAAGCAAGCAGCCGGCCGTAAGGTTTGAGTTCCAACGTCCGGAATTGCGCTTGGTCCTCGTGATTTTCGGAGTTTCAAACGAGGTAAGCCAAAAATAAAGTTTCAAGGGGTAAAAACAATTCTCAAAGAACCACTTACCCGTCTGCCCCTTGCCGAGTGTCTTCTCGAGCTTGTACGGCCCGCAGTACTGGGCCTGCGGCGCGGGCCGCCCGGTACCTCCGTTTTCGGTAGCCATCCGCGAGTTCAGCTCATCATTCACCTGGAAAAGCGTAGCTTTAAATACGATATGCATCATTAGGATACATATATCCAGGATCTTTGCCAAAAGCGGGCAACATAGGGCAAATTCTCAAAAAAGAGTAGCCGGGGATAGCAATTGCAAGGCCGGACGGACTATCTGACCTCGGTTCTGACGTCGAGAGCTTAAAAAACTTGGGTTTTGCACTTGCATTTTAGTATGTATTAAATTAAGCGTATGAAATGTAAAAAGGTTTTTAAAACTATGCAAATTACACTCCAAATATACCTAAGCACAATCCAAATCCTGAAAATAGCTTTATTTTAAAAATTTTGTCAATAGTAACGGTCATATCTAATAGCCTCCATAAAATTGTTGCAATCGTCTAGACAATACGTTTTGTATTTTCGTAAAGAAAAGCTTTTAAAATAGACAAAACTAATAAATTCGGGCTAAAATTTGCAAATTACACTCCTCACTACACTTCCAAGTATCCCGGTGGTGTAGCGCGTATATTTTTGTGAATATTTCATCAATTCCCAGGCCCAGTCCCTTGCCTCAACACCTCCCGTTTTATGGTCTTCGGACCCTGGGGCTGGGGGGCCCATTCGCGCACCACCTGCTCCCCCCGAGGGCCCAAACGCTGGGGCCCCATGCGGCTTTTGGGTCTATGGGTTCGGGTTGATAAATGGACACTCCGGGAACACTTGGTGGTCGATGTTTTCGGGGGCGCGGGAGGAGGAGGTGGAAGGGGCTGAAAATTGAGGCTTCTTCTATCATTACTGCAGGTAGTTACGTGAGATTTTTAACCGAACTGCTTCACGTAGAGGTATAATTGCGTAGCACATCCATAGGATAAAGGATATATATTTTATTGCTATTAAAGGGACAAAGAAACGCCAGAATCTACCGACGTCCACCACTAGGTATCGATAAGTACGCCACGCTCCATAACGCGCTGCTAACAATTTTTGGGATTACCGTAACATATCCCTTGAGCCTTATGCAGCATTGCGTACGGGTATTTTGGCGTATCTTCTAGTTGTCGAAATCTAGTCGAGGAAAAGGTTCTATTCAGGTGTTTCGCAGATACTTTAAAGGACCGGTGAAGCCTAATTTTTGGCTATATTTTTTACTAACTTTAACAGTAATGTCTCTGGCGTTTCGGAATTTGCGCCAACCTGCGTGAGCTTGGTGTTGATCTCTCCGAGCACCTCCTTCAACGCCTCAAACATGCATTCGAACGCGGCTGTCGCGGATTACCCACACCACGTCGATCCGGTCGGCATTCAGCTCAAAAAATGCCGGTTAAGCTGTCAAAGTTCAAAGTAGAAAGCACGAAATTCAAGAAATAGTCGAGAAGTGAGCGACAGAGGGAGAGAGAGGAAGGGAGAGAGAGCGAGAGAGAGAAAATGAGCACAAAAAAAGAACAAAATTTTCGAGTTGAACCTCGAGTTAAAACCGATAAGACGCACAAGAGTCTTTCTTCAAAAAAAGATCTGGACGCCCTGAATAATAGACAGCCACCCTTGTCCCTCTCGTTGTTCGTCATCGCTACTCTACGCAGATTACGAGGGCACCCGAGTCGTTTTTTTGGCCGGGTCGATCCGCCGGCCCGGATCATGGACTTCCTGGATCAAAGGACACAAAAAACATGTGGGGCACCTCGGGGATTACGAAGGTGGAGCGGAAGTCTGAGTCATGAAGGGTAATTTGGTTAGGTTGTCAGACACTTCTCGGAAGCCGGAAAGAGTATATTGGCTCATTAAAGGGTCCAGGAAGACCCAGTCGACCAAAGCTCTATAATCGGCAACGAGCCAACCGGAAAATGCTAATACAAAAAATGTGCAGAGAGTGGTGCGAGGCAGGAGGGCACAGTTGAGATTTATGCCAATTTTGGAACTAAACCCCGTTTTATACAAATTTTTCCGGGGCCATCTAGATCCCTTTAAACCAATTTACGCCAACTTCATCTATTTAAATTGTAACTAAATATTTATGAGAAGCTGTTCAACCCGTGAAAGTAATATAGTCGGGCCTCTAAAACCACGCCACCTGCCCGCATTTTCTGATATTAGAGCAGGTGTGCCCTCTGGAGTAATGAGGTGACGTTTGGCTACGTAGTGAGGGTGAAAATGCGCATACGATTTTAGGGCAGGGATCTATTCCAGGCAACGCAGCCTTAAATAGCAATTTCCGACTGGAAAGGGATCAGAAAATAGGTGTAGTCGGAGTCATTTATGAAATCTCCTTCCAGCAAGAAATCACCGAGTAAGATCTTCAACCTAAAAGGGTAAAGAAAATCGAAAACAAATTGAGAAACAGGAATTAGAGTTTCCAGATGCCGTATGATAACCTATCGTTACGTAATTAACCCGGTTTTCAGTTTTACTGACAATCGATGAATAAAAACCCTGGCGGAACCTCGAAAAGGTTACGTTTGATGGCTCCCTAAATGCCAGTCAAGCGGCTTGACGTATCGTAGCGTAGTCAATGAAATACTTAAAGTGTAAGCTATCAATGCAAAAAAGGAAAGGTATAACGCCGTACGGGAGCTCGAATGCTTCCAAAAACAGACAAAGACGCGTCGTGTAATCGTAGCTGAGCGTAGAATTTTTTATGGCCTACGGCTACAAACTATAGGCCTCCAACCGTGGCTAAATTGTCAAAATCAGAGTTTTTGAATGAATCTAGGTTCAAGGTTGGTTGCCAGAAAGGGGTGGGTGAGAAGGATGGCATCCGGGTTGGCCTGGGCCCCCTGGTTGTGGGCCCTCGGTGGGCCCCCCGATCGATGTGGACTGAAGGGAAGGGAGGGGGGCCACCACCCTTCTTCTGAATCCCCCTTCTATGCACTCACCCCCTTCCGCCCCCCTCCCGCTAGTCCCTAAACCCTGGAAAATCGCCGGCGCGACGAAAAAAATTGGGAACATTATTTTCATTAATCGTTGTAAGTATGCAAGGCGTTCGTAAAATCCAGAAAATTCTGAAAGCCTTCTCGATATTGCGAAATCCATTTAAGCTATTAATTGACGAAAAATCCTGCAATTTTTCGCTATTCTCTTTAAAAAGGCGCTTAAAGCGGCGTACGGGATCGTAGCCAATTATGCCCTTTACTACGGTCTCCACCGTATCATCACGTAACTTACCAATTTGGACGTACCTTACGATACCCACCGTATCATAACGTACCGTCAGTGTTGATCATTTTCCACAATAAATATAGCTTGAAACGTATTATAAAGTATCATTTCGTACGCTAGTGAGTGTATCGCAGCGTAGCGTACTAGATGTAATATTAAATGCGCTACCCCCTTCGCAACGTAATTTAACGTTTTGTAACGCCATGTATCAACTAGGTAGGTGTCATTAGTAAATACTGTACGCAGCGAATCTTATGGTATCGAATCGTGTGCTAGCGTATCGTTGCATAGCGCTTCATACAAAGGATTATTGCACGCTGCGCTACCTTGTCTACAAAAACATAAGGTACTTTGTCGGAGCTCCAGGTTACAATTAGCGAGTTTCTGCGTTGCACACGACATCGTCAGGTATCGTAGCGTTGCGTAGCGCATCGTGCCGTAGCGTGCGTATAGCGTAGTGTGTTCAAAAAATTATTAGACCCTCACCTAATTATTCAAAAGAAAAATGGCATAAAACTCATAACCATGTCAATCATATTACATTCGTAAGCCCATATACCCTTTTCCAGGGGCCGAAAAGACAATTAGATGCGTCCGGCCCGTATACACAAACACGTCACCCGTTAATCCGCCCAGCAGCCATCTAGCCACCCCCTCTTCACTCACCCTGGTGTGCCATGCTAATGAGTCAACGGATGGACAGACACACACACACCATGTGTCTCAACCCCCGCCTGCGGGCACCCCCAAGCTGCTTTCCTTTATTATTGCGCGAGCATCCGGGTGGGTGAAAGGGGCTTATCTGGACGCTAAATCCCGCCAGAATCGGGCGAGGAGGTAGCGGAACTGCGATTTTAATGGAAAATTATTTATGGCTGAAAATGGGCTGGCGCGGTACCCCTAACGAGAAGCGGATCTCGTGTCTGATGTTTTGCATCTTAATGATAGATAGTAGCTTGAAAACGGGGTTTTCTGATAACATCCAGGCCGCAGCTCAAGCTTGGGCCTGAGCCTGGGTTTAGCCTCAGCCTGAGTCTCAGCTTTCTAAGCCTGAGGCTAAGCTTGAGTCTAACCTAAGCTTTGGTCTAAGTCTAAGCCAAGCCTAAGCCTAAGCCAAAACCTAAGCCCAAGCCTAACCTAAGCCTAAGCCTAAGCGCAAGTCCAAGCCTAACCTAAGCTTAAGTCTAGGCCTAACCTAAGCCTAAGCCCAAACCAAGCCTACGTCCGTCAGCCAGTTTAAACTCGTGGAACAGCTCAAAAGTGTTAAAATGCGGATTTAAAAAGGCCGGAAAGGACCGCTAGATTGTGATAAGCTGGAAAGGTAAAACGGCGGAAAGAGCTATCGGGAGACCGAGAAGTCAGATGGCAAGAAGAATTCCGACGTAAAATTCGTAGTTTGTAGCCTCCAGAAGCCTAAGCTAGTCCATACCGAGACACGTTGACATGTTTCGGTCTTAAAGGGGCTCTGGCAGCAGGCCCCTTTTTCCACGATTCGTGGAAGCGTCGCGGTCGGGTGCGTCGCGGCAGGGAGAGAAAGAGCGCGCCCAGAGGCGAGACGCAGACAGAACTCTGCGTCTCTGCCCGGTCCCCAAAATGCCGTAATCGGTGTGCTGCCAGAGCCGCTTTAAGGTCTAACTAGTGCCAATTTCTGTCCACCGCACCCTTCCTCACAACAGCATTGCTTTATTATTGCGCTGGTGCTGCCACGCACCCCACTGGGGCCCTTGGGCCCCCCCAGGGCGCATATTAGGAAATTGGGTGTTCGCGCCGAGAGTTGGGGCAATTCCGAGAGATCAAAGAGTGACTGGCATCCGGGTCGAAAGAGAGAGAGAGAGAGAGAGAGAGAGAGAGAGAGAGAGAGACATATAAAGAGAGAGATAGAGAGAGGCAGAGAGAGAGAGAGGGAGGCGCAAAGAATATGAGCGACGTCGCCGAGAGGGTGAGAGGAAGGGTGCCACTTCCTGGGCCTCCCACATCCACACATCCAGTGGGTTGCCGGCGACCCTGCGCTTTCCCCCTAGGGGCCTCAAAGCTCACAAACTGACTAATATCTTTGGTTGGTGGTCGGGGGTGGGGGAAAATCCGGGAAGGGTCTTGGAAAACTCAAAGGCCCCGACGGGTATTTGGCATCAGCTGGTCGGGCCGATCGGTTCAGAATTCGGGCACGAAATCGGGTTTTGAAGGTTTTAAGAAGTATTTTATTTAAATTATGCGGTGTATATTACAAAGCAAAGGAAACAAAGACATTTAATCGCGAGGACCTATATTTGGCGCTTCTCGTAAAGCTATTAAAATCGAGTACATTAAAACCGCATTTTAATCGTATGGAAAAGCAAGTAAGTTTCAACAACATTTCAATATAGTTTTTGTAAATCAGATCTGGCTTTCAGGACTACTTTATAAGTTTCTCTCAAATGTGGCGAAAAATCCACAAAAATTATATATAGCTTTAAATGGGTCAAGAAGTCCGAGAAACTACCCATTTCTTCTACTAGGTCTCGACAACTACGCTCCTCGCCAACACAACCATGCATCTGATTTTGAAGACCTTAGCAGAAAAAAACAGAACAGCTTGATCTGTGTTCTGCAGCATCGCGTAACTGGCTAGACTAACCGTCGGAAGGGCCAATTCTAGCGCTTCCTAGTCCCTTTAACTATATTAATATAATAATAATTTATTTCTCGCACTTAGGTTTACAAGTAAACACTTATTAGTGGAGGTAAGGTTGGAAGTTTGTTGAAGAAAAAGAAAAAAAGGGGGGTAAGGAAGCATTAAGGCGTTAAATGGACATGATTAATTAAAGAATGGATGAAATAGGTATGTATATTTATATATATTTAACTATGCGAATGTAGCCGGATCAACAATCCGTTAGAGGCCAATGGCCATTTCCAGTGTCCCTAGGCAAGGCATCGTCAACCGGTGCCCCCCACCCCCTGGCGGGTTAACGGCTTCGGCGACTCGGGAATTGGATTCCCGGCCGTTTCACAGGAGGGTAGCAGGGGACGGAGGTGGGGGGGAGGTGAGCCAAGATTCTCGGTTTCTAGTGGCTCAGGCTTGGATATCCCTTGATTTCTTATTTTATTGGACAACAGCTAGAAGACCATAAAATCTCAAACCTTGCGATTTCGCATTCGGATCGGAATCGCAGTTTGGTATTGTTTAAGTGGAGGGAGAGTGAAATTGACGAAAGCCGTGCTAACAGGGAGCAAGAATCTTAATTGCTTAAAACCTTTTCTAAAAAAATAAAATTTATGGATTTCCGGGCCTAGAATTGGAAATTCTGAGGCCAAGAAAGCTGGTGATGTAAAGATGGCAAAAATTGTAAAAACTCGGGATAAAAAGCGTTTTAAATTTAGGCAAGACCAGATGAAGAGAAAGTTTTCTTGGAATACAGTATATATAGCGTTAATAAGCTCTCAAAAATTCTTAAAATTGCTTGGGTGACACCTTATTATGCAAATTTTAGGTATAAACATTAACGTTAAGGTTTTTAGACGATTCTGATTTGAATGATTCTGCTTACCAAGAACCTAGAAGAGCCATATAACCTTCAAAAACGCACGCAAAAATTCGATTTTCACGTCCACGAGCAAAGCTAAGGCGAACGAGGAGCCGCAGCAAAAGCGGAATCGAATGGCGCGTAGGTGGCTTCATTCTAAGCTTCTCTCTGCAAGATGGCAAAAGAGGCAGGAAGGTCCCCCTCCCCCTCCAGAGGGCACTTTTGCCGCATGGAACGATTGCATTAGACTCTCACGATCGGCCATGGGACGACGGGGCCAAGGCCACAGCCGTTTCAGGGGCCCTGAGCCCCCTAAATGGCCCTCGGGCCCCCCTAGGCACACATCCACACAAGCACCCCATGCATTTTTTGGGCCACACCCCGGGCAGCATCAGGGCCAGCCGGTGCGTATTTTGCGAAGGGGGGTAATGGGCCTGATGCGGCCGTGTCGGATGGTGACGTCGTGGTGAAGCCCAAGCCTAAGCCCAAGCCTAACCTAAGCCTCGGCCTAAGCCTAAGCCTAAGCCTAAGCCTAAGCCTAAGCCTAACGGGGCGATTTGGGTTTTTGTTGTTAAGCAGATTCCGTTTCTTGACCTACAAATCTCACTAGAAAGAAAATCGAAAATTTTTGATGAAAATGGTAAAGTTTTTTGGGAGCTTTTCGAGATAAAAAAATTCGAGTATGATGTACGTGTTTTTGTAATAGCTCCCGATCTTTAATGTAAATGTCATAATCGAATCGAATAGCTGAGGAAAGGCAATAAAAAGCATCATAATTATAGTTTTACTAAATTTAAGTGCCCTTAAGTTCTGGCGTCCGAAGTTCGGGAAAAACGAAATTCCCGACATTGAAAAACTCAACAGCCAAAATCCCGACCCCAAAACCCCGACAGCTAAAATCCCGAAGACCAAAATCCCAAAAGCCAAAATGCCAAAAGGTAAAATCCCGACAACCAAATTCTCGACAAGGCAAAATGCCTACATCCAAAATCCAGAAATACGGAGATGGCATTAAAAATAAGGTCAAGAATCAGTCGACTTTTTTGGCCTGTCGGCATTTTCCCCATGGGGATTTCATCTGTGCGGGTTATGGCAGCCCTGATTTGCCCGAAATTCTCGAGGTTCGCACCCTCCTTTATCGGACGTAGCGTCAGAGGTACGGACGTTCGAAGATTACCCTTTCATGGAATTAGGAACGACCTTTGCTAATGGTCAAAAATCCCTCTATGCTAATTTTAACTAACACAAATACCCAAATGACACGCCAGAATTGACGAATTTAAAATGGGGGCGCCAGCCAGACGGATCGGGTGGTGTCCGCCAAGTAATTGGGTAAACGAAATTCACCCGAAAAAAAGGGGGAGATCCTCAAAAAAAAAATAGCGGCGGACGGTCCCATTTTCACGCCGCTCCACATCGGCTGGCGGAAGATAATTGGGCACCAGAGAATTGGATGGGCCAAGCATGGGATGGTGGTGGCAGAAATTTGAGGAGGCTCGGAAAATGGCTAAAAATGGGAGAAAAAACAAATGGCGTAGAATTTATCGCTAGCAGTCAAAAAAAAACGAGGAATCCCTTTTAGCCCATCCAATATTTTGAAAGTTTCATCCGCCATTTCACTAGTTTAACGGAATTGTTTTAATATTTATCGACACGAGATCATTTTGAAAAAATGAGCAAAAATTTCAGCGAAAATCGAGTTAGGCCAATTCCTGAAGTTCAGTAGCTGCGCGATAACTTCGAACGGCTGACGACTCGGCCCAGGATTGGATTTTTACTAAAAATATCTAGTTTCCAATTTAACTTGAGAACCTGACCTTCTCCATATAACAAAAATATCACTAAGGAAAAGATGTTCAAAACCGCTCCTGTATAAAGCGCTATCGTCCATTTGTGAGGCCAGTTCTGAAATGCTTACATGAAGTGCCACCTCCTCCCGATATTTAACGATCAAAGATTCGAATCTTCTTTAGAGCAAGACTGACCATAAAATCAATTAACGTAATAAGCTGCGATACTCCGATCCCAGCGATAGTTAGGTATGCCATGGCTATCGACGAGATTGTCCCGGTGTAGGGTGGAGCTATCGTAACCAACGAGGTGAAGGAGCCAGGGATAGAGGCGGAGAAGGCGGTACCTTAAGAGATGATATTCGGAAGGATATAGCTCCTACCGTATAACATTAACAATGGCAATGCCATCCACGTTCTATCACAGCTTGGTAGATGAACAAGGCCGATTAAACTTGCGCTTACGCCGACGGCACCTAAATAAAACTTCTTCGGACGATTTTTTTTTTGATATTGATTTTCTTATAGAATTTATTGAGACATTATGACGTTATCAAAGCTTCTTGAACTTACTAAAAATCTGAAAACCCTTCCCCATCTTTGTCGGGTCAAGCTGCTTCTCCTTCTTCAGCCAATCGCTCACCCAAGACAACACGTTTTTGAAGATAATTTGCGAGATAAATGGCGTCATTGTGTAGAGGCCATTCTAGGGACATAATGGCCTTAAAAATAAATTTTTACATACCTTATGAATCGGCAAGTAGAGCTGATCTTTCAAATATAACGGTAAAAACGTCTGGACCCATACGGCACAGTATCCAAACGAAAAATTCGCCGCGTAAATGGCTTGCGTTGTGGGGCTGAAGAGGATGTGACGCCACGGGAATGAGGTGTCTTTCTGGGGAATATACGGAGTTTTGTATATTTAAAAAACTTACAAAATGCTGAGAATTTTTCTTCGAATTCGTCGACCGCTCCAAGTATTGTTGCTCCGTTTTTTTGGTCCACCGATTTTCACTCGGCTCGTCTGTGACGAAAAATAGCCAAGCGGGGAGCCAGAGGAGCGCGATTCCGGCTTAAAATTATTGACGTTTAATCAATAAAATTTCTAATTAATTTTTGATGAAAAATCCAGGCCTAATTTTTTTTTGACATTATTCGAATTTCTTAAGCTAAAAACTACCAGTTTCTTTGATTAACATTTTTGTTTTATTTCATTCATTTACAATTTTATCTCGAAGAAAAAACGATTAATTTTTGAAAAGATGTCGCTAGCTGTCTAACAAATAAAAAAATCATAAATCGTTTTAATTTACCTTGCTTATCATTTTAAGGCTAAAGAGGCTTGTTTTGCGTTATATTCTCTATATATTACCGTTAGCTGTATTAATACAAAGTTTTAAATCAATAAAGCACCCACCAAACCCATAAAATATTGACTGCCATCCCAGACTCGACGTGCACAGCGCCGCCACGATAAACGAAGTCACCCCGGCGGCCACCTGTCAATCCACACACATAGCCTCTCCCTTTCCCCCGAACCCCCGTCGCTTCCGTGGCGCAATCGGCAGCGCGTTCGGCTGTTAACCGAAAGGTCGGTGGTTCGAACCCACCCGGGAGCGAAACTTTTTGCTTTTTGCCTACTTGAACGCCGGATGTGTAGATTGCTCCTATCGTTGCTCGTTCCTCTGGTGGGAACCATTTGGAGGCCATGGCGTTGCAGCTTGGGAAAACAAAAGTCTAGAAGGTCGTTGTTTTTTAATCTTTCCAATCTACCTGTCCGACTCCGAGCATGGCTCTTGACACCCAAAAGCCAGAATATGTTCTGACAGCCATAATTGGGCCGATTAGTGTCGCCACCATACAATTAAGCACCGCGCCTAAAAAACGGCGTGTTTATCGTATTTTTATGTTTAATTTCAGATTTTCTAGAATTACTGCATTTTTTATTGAAACAATAATGGCCAAATTGGAGCTGGGCTGCAATTAATACAGCATAACCGGTTTAACCTACCTAATAACGTGATTTTAGGGCCATAGCGATCAGCCAAATACCCGGCAAAACACATCGTGACGAGCTGACCGTAAAAGGAGCGGAGAGTAGCATAGAAGTCATCGATGGATCCCAGAGTAAGGTACCCTAAATTACGACTTGTTGAAAAGTTAGAGGATTACCCCATATCCATCCTGCTGGGCAATTTTCTCTTCGTCAATCGGATGGCAAGCTGGTGGTAAGGGTTTTTCTAATTTAAGCTTTGAGGTATTTGTATGAAGAGGAAGAAACGCGGTCGCGTTTACCTGAAAATACGAAATAATCTGTATTTACAAACAGAATGCTGACATCTAAATTTCGCTAGCTAGTATCCTGTAAGCTTAATTATCGATAGCCAATATACCGACACAAAAATGTCGACAGCCGAAAACCCGACAGCCTCAAGGGCGTCCGACATTCCGGGCCTTTGCCTATCGGTGTTTTCATCGTCGCGATCTCGGCTTGTCGTCATTCGGACTGTCGATATTTTGGATTGTCGGCATTCCGGCTATCGGCATTTCGGGTTCCCGATGTAAAAAGACATTTATACGCTTCGCTTGAGCGAAAGAGCCACGCAAAGTATGAGTTCGAAAAACATACCATACACGTAATCCCAAGGCTCAAATTCACTCGCATGCATACTGTCAAGCAAAAGGCAGCAGATAGTAGAAAAGCTATTCGAAGGCGATGCGAACTCAAAAAATCAATATTGCCATAGTTTTTTACACTCCAAAATACCTAAAAGAAAACAGCGGCTGTGCCGGGGAATCCATAATTTAGCCAAATCAGGGTTAGTCGCGCCCAAAACTGGAGCCAATTGATAAAGCTGGAGCTGTCGTTTAAAGTGTGGAGGCTCAGATTTTGGGAGGCTGAGCCTATTCTTCCAGCTGTCTATCTCTGATAGACTTATCGCGCCGTAAACCGCCCAGTTTGTGCTTCTGTTTTTGGCACTTTGTGACTTTATGGTGTGGTTTTTTTTGCACGTGCAGTTGCTTATTAAATTGTTTTAGTATTTTTTGAGGTGTTCGAATTATCCCAAATCAAACAGGCAACATAAAAAGTAAAAAAAAATACTGGTACTGCACTTTTTAATCAGGTTAAAAACTTTTTCTGATATTACAGATTGTATTAAACATTTAAATATAGTAGATATATGTGTATTGACTTAAAAATGTCGACTTTAACTCCAGAAGTGTATTTAGTTATGGCTAACTTTCTTAAAAGATAGTTTATTCCAAGTTCATGGTTTTTTTAGGCAAAAGTCTTCGTTTCCGGTAGACTTTTCTCACTCGGGCTCACCTTGATCCGCGCCCATTCTTGGACTTTGGCTGTAAAATTTGATGAAAAACTTGGCAATTTTCACTCACCCTCCCCAGCATAGATGTAATGAACCCCGGAAAGCATGCACATCGAGCTAGCGCAAGTGAAGATTATCATCCACTTATGAGGCCAGCCCTGAAAAGGGAACGATTTCTCTGAAGCGATCATACAATTACCATAAATTCTATAAAAGATAGAAGCATTGGCCCGGATACGTTGGCTACTGTAGCGTAGGTCATCGAGATCGAGGTCATTGTCCCAGAATACGGGGGTGCGATCGAGATCAGAGAGGTGAAGAAGCCACAGATGGCAAACGAGAAGAAGATGCCTGAAAATTGTGGTTTAAAGGAGCTGACAAGGCAAAGCTAGGGATACTGATGACTATGTCTATTTTTCGCGCCGCCCTGAAACACCCGGGGTTACTGTGTCAGAAATCCATAGCCAAACATCTCTTCAGTTGTTTTTCAAAAAGGGGCGACAGCAGTTATATCGAAGAATTTAAAAACTAGGAAAAATGGCAGCAAGGTTAAGGTTTCGCTAGATTTTAGAAGCCACATATTGAAAATCTTCACAAGGCCATAACCTACCGTATGCCAACAAAATCGGCAGCGCAATAAATGGACTCTCACAGGAAGGTATATATCCAAGTGCAAACAACGCCATTCCGGAGCCAAAAGCACCTAAAATACCGTCATAATAACTTTAGTTTCTATAATATGTTATAGAATAAGATAATCTCATAAACGAACTTACTAACACCCTGAAAGATCTTCCCCGACACATCCGGGTCCAAGATTTTGTTCCGCTTCATATAATCCGAAACCATCCCGAGAATGAGCTTCGAAGTGATTTGAGAGGCGAATGGGACCATCGTGAAAATACCGTTCTAAAAATGGTCGCAAAGGTCAGCCGGTTAGTATCCCGTTAATAGACGTACCATGTGAATTGGAATATGGAGCACTTCTTTAAAATAGGTAGGCAAAAAAGCTTGCATTAACGAAGCGGCAAAGTTGAACGCAAATTGACTAGTGTAGTTGGCGAGGCAGGCTCTCCCAAAGAACAGCTCTCGCCAGGGGATGCTGTTTTCTTTCTAAAATTTATCCTACTATATATAAAAAAATAGTGTCTGTGCGTCTGTGTGTGTGTGCCACTTTGCATCCACTTCCGTCTGTCTGTCCGGAGGATATCCCAAGAAGGGACGGGTATTAGGCTACGTATGATACGTCATTAGGTGCGCAATGGTCTAGGGATGACTGCACACATATCAGATTTTTAAAAATTGGCCATTTTCGCTATTAAATTTAGGGTTTTATAAAAATCTCCTTGTTAGGAATAATTAGCATCTGCCGGAAGTGGGCGGTCGTCTATATAAAGAGGCAGAAGGGGTTGTTTTTCATTTTTTTTTCTTCTGAATGGAGGACAATTATGCAAAGGGCGGAATAGCATGGGGTCCAAGACGGGGCCAGGGTTGAAAAGTCGCGAAGCGGCTTTTCAACCCTGGTATAAATATAAAAATTCAACTGAAAAAAGTATGATTTAATAGAAATATCGGCAAAATCCGAAGGCCTTATAAACCCACAAAAATATCCGCCTGTGCTTTCGAAGACAAGTTTTCTTCTATATAAGCGGCTTCCTCTTGAGAAAGCCACCGATTCTCCGTGGGAGAATTTGAAGAAAATATCCAGAATACAGTGGCCCAGACGAGTCCAAGAGCACCTTAGAGGCATCAGAATATTAAGAAAAATTGGTTACCAAAAATGTAATAAATTGAAGGCCAGCCCCATGGTGACGAACAAAGGCCTGCAACAATTAGAGCCGTGAAACCAGCTGCGATCTTGAAAAGGTAGGGTTTTTTGTATTGAAGGTATCAATACCTGGGTCCCGCTTGTATAAATCGCTCCCACGGTGGATTTTTCGCTTTGTGGGAACCACCTTGCGACCATGCAGTTGATACATGGGAAGACGAAGCCCTAAACGTGTCGGTTTTGCTTTTAAAGCAAGTCTTAGTAAGGCAAAAATCGATCATTATATATTTAGCTTGATTTTGAACAGATTTAAAGGTTTAATTAAACCATTAAAGTCATAGGAAAATTTTCATCCATACCTCTCCCACTCCAATAATCAACCTAGACCCAAAATAGGCCCAGTAGCTATTTTCAGCCAAAACAGGTCCAAGCAGCGTCATTAGCGTGTAATCCAATGCGGCGACTAAAAGCAGAGACTTTCCTAGTGTTTCCGGATTCTAATTTCATACCAAAAAGAATTGCTTTCGGACCAAAACGATCAGCAAAATATCCGGAAATCGCAATCGTAACCAAGCTTCCGTAGAATGTTGCGGAAAATAGCAGTCCTTGCATGGATGGACTCCAGAGGAGGGTGCCCTAAATACGGTTTAGAGGTGTAATCTCTACTTGTCAACTGCTAGGTATCCAGAAATTGATTGAAAAGTGGAAAAAAAATACAATCAGACTACCCCATAGCCACTTTCGGTTGGTGTCGACTCATCATAGGCATACAGGCATTGTCTGGTGTCTTGTCGAATTGAGTTGTTTTGGGGTGTCCTCGGCTTTTCAAAGGCCGTGGAGTTGACCTAGAAGTCAAAAATTATATCTATGCTATGATTTTTACTTCCGGTGCTATGAGAATGCTATGCTTCTCCGACTTTGTATTACAAAAATGCGGGGCTGCGGAATTAGGATTATTTTAACGAAAAAGAGCGGTTTTAGGCTGCATCAAGCGGCGTTTCTAACTTTTGGGCTTTTAATAAAGCGTATTAATAAAAAAATATTCGCGCTGGCCGCTAAAACCAACCATACACGTCACGCCCATGCTCAAATTCAACCTCATCGACACCATCACGTAAAGACCAGACATCAGTAGCAGGCATATCCGCAATCGATGGGTTTTTGGCGAAAATAAGGCCGGATGTGCCATTTGGATACGGCGATGTCAAAGTGACGAAAATTCCAATGATGGACCGGAAAATAGGCCGTTTTCAAGTCGGACCTTGCATCACCGTGTTGCAGTTGAGTGGAGCGCTCACAACTTTGCATAAATCTCGTGGCAGAAAAAGCGTTTGGCCCCCAGCTGAACGTGTTGGTTTCGATGAATTCCAGATTTTTTCGCAATTTGTGTGTACTTTGGAACGTTGCTCAGTTTTCAGGCCCTTCTTTTTAAAAATGAAATGCCTATGATTCACGCGGGTTCCGGGATTTTCGTTGATTAATTTGCATTAAATGTACTTTTTGCATTTTCCATTGAATTGATAGCTTAAGACATCTGCTTTATTCCTCTGCACCGTCATGAGATCATCACAAAACACACATTGCCATAACAAAACATAATACCGGAAATGCTATCACCGAAAGTGAGCCAACAGGACCCGGGGCTAATTCTTAAAAAATCTTTCGTATTCTGTAAATCATTTCTCCGCTGTCGTCAGGTCGATCGAGTCCTTTGGCTGCGCCCAGGGCTGGATTTTCGCTAGAAATATACAGTTTTTCCACTTTTTAAAACCACGATCAAGTTATTTTAAAATTAAGACTTACCTTGACCAAAGCAGATGAAGAAACAACCGGCGCAAAATTGAATGGTAGCGCAGAGACCGAAGACGATCAGCCATTTGTTAGGGAGGTCCTGGAAAAGCAGCTTGAGAGAGAGAGAGCGAGATAGGGAGAGAGCGAGATAGAGAGATAGAAAAAGATAGAGAAAGAGACAGAGTGAGAGAAAAGGAACAATAATCCGAAAACCGTGGAAAAACACTCACCAAATAATCGATCAGCGCAATAATGTTTGGTCCAGCAAGGCTAGCCACCGTAGCGTAACCGGTAGATATCGAAGAAATGGTCCCAGAATATTGAGGAGCTACTGTCATTAACGAAGTAAAAAATCCAGGGATGGCACCAGCAAAAAACATTCCTAAATTTAAAGGGTTTTAAAGCCTAGTTCGTCTACCATATGCCGATAGAAGATATAGGGCCACTGCCGGGTTTTCACAAGACGGTAACCAGGCGAGGAGGAAGAGTATGATAGATACCCCGATAGACCCTGAAAAACGCATGAAAATTACGATATTAATTACGATGATTCTGAGCTAGACGCTAAAAAATTATGAAATTACTTACCGCAACCCTGGAAGAACTTGACCAAGGTGTCGGAATCAACAAGCTCTCGCTTCTTCAAATAGTCCGACAGGATAGCAGCAATATTTTTAGAGACGATTTGAGTGAAGAAGGGGGCAATGTTGTAGAGGCCGTTCTGAAAAGGTATTATATTGAGCTACTACGGTATTTCAGGTCGGGTTTTTGTTGAGGTTCAGCTACTAAAACCCACTAGAATGAAGAGAAAAACCAACCAAATGGATCGGTAAAAATAGGTGGTCCTTGAAGTATGTCGGCAAAAATGACTGCATGATGACGGCGCACAGGCTGAAGGCGAACTGGCAAAAGTAGATGGCCTGCATGGTGCGGTTGAAGAGGAGGTGGCGGATGGGGAGGCCTTGGCGGACCTGAAAAAAAGGATTTTTGAGCCTAGGTATTTATCTTTTTTTATGGTTTGAAGGGACAGGTAAGCTATGGATTTTATTGAGTTAAAATCCAAACCCTAACAGTACCGAGTCTTGCCTACTTACCAACATATCCTTCTGCTTCCTCGACAACACCTCGCGCTCCAGGAACTCTTTCTCCTGCTCCCCGGTCCAGCGATTGTCTTGCGGGGAGTTGGTGACGAAGATGATCCAGAAAACGGACCACAGTAGTCCGACACCACCTAGGCATTCGAAAATCAATTTTTAGGAAAAATTCAAACCGAAAAAGTAGAAAAATGAGGGCCATCCGAGGGAGGAGGCGCAGAGTTCGGCGACGAAAAATGACGTGAAACTGGACGCTAACTAAAGGAAGTTTTTTTGGACGGTTTTTGACGATATGACGATCTAAACGATGCCATCAGTTGAAGTAATGGGATCCCTACCTGATTACCCGTAGTGTACAACGCTCCGGCAGTAGATTTTTCGTATGATGGGAACCATTTTGAGGCCATACTATTAATGCATGGTTGGACGCATCCCTAAAATTTATAGAGGTATTTTTGTTCTCTAAAAAATTACCATAGTTTCTCCTAATGAGAACAAGGTGCTAAACCCACAATTCCAATACCCATCATGGCTCTAGAAGCAAAAAAGGCCGGGTATGAACGCTCTGCCAGCGTCGGGCCAATCATCGTGAACACGACGCAATCGATTACGGCAGCTAAATGGAGATTTTTAAGGTATTTTAACGCGATTGTGCAGTCGTTTAGCTTGTCACTAAAGGTGCGTGCAACCGAAAAGTCCTAAAAAACCTACCAACAAGCAACATTTTCGGCCCGTACCGATCGGCCAGATACCCGGAGAAAGCCATCGTTACGAGACCACCGTAAAATATAGCACCAAATAAGGCCGACTGCATAGAGGGAGACCACATCAAATATCCCTAAAAATCTTAAGGGGCTAAGAAAGGTCCCTCTACCACATAGCCGTCCTCCTTGGCCACGCTCTCGTCAACGATGGGTTTGCACACATCGTGCGAGTGGTCGATGGACTCGTTTTTGTAGAAGTTTTTGAGTTCTTCAGGAGCGTAGGCTGTGGAGTTTACCTTAAATGGAGCGTGAAATGGGAGAGAGAGAGAGAGAGAGAGAGAGAGAGAGAGAGGGGGGGGGGGGGGAGAGAGAAGGGGAGAGAGACAGTAGGATAGAGCGCAAGAGAGATATTTAAACTCCACTTACCATACACGTGATCCCCATGCTCAAGTTGACCCTCATAGAAGTCGTTGAGAAAAATGCGGCCATTAGCAGAAAACAAACGCGAAGCCTGTGAGAATGAAGTGAGAAAAGTGAGGGCCGCTTCTCCTTTTCCTTATCCTCCTCATCTTCGTCCTTTTTTGGCATAATCTGTAAAAACATTTGAACATTTTTTGAACAAAAATACAATGAAAATGAAAAAAATTATACTTGGCTCAGAAATTCGCGAAAATCCAGAAAAAAAATCGAAGCCCCAAGCCCAGACGCCAGCTTTTATGTGTAAGAAAAAATGATGAAATTGATGTCTAGACAAGGGGAACGACGGGGTTTAAAAACCCAATCGACTGATGAGACCACAGTTCCTTCCGCCATTTTCTTGATGTTTTTGAACCCCCGGATAGAGCGCACAAATAAAAGCTTCTCGCCCGGGCATCAGCCTCCGCCGGTCAATCGAACAATTCCCCGGGCGCATGAACAACACCTATTCAATTTCATGCCACATAAATTTATAAACAGCTGACGAATCGGGCAGTCAATTGACGCAGAGGTAGAAAAATTGATCGGAAAGGTCCCGAGACAGGCTAAACCATCAACGGCTCTGATAATAAATTCTAAATATCATGTACGGTATTTTTCTAGGTAATAATCATAACGGGGAAGCCCTACAACGTTCATAAATTGTCTAAAAAATATCTGTCCCTTCGATATTGGAAAATGAGTGATTCCTAGGAACCCAATCCCTCATAAAAGTCCAAAAACCAGCTGACTGTTATTAAGAAAATTCAAAGGGCTATTTAGGCAATTTTATAAATTTAAAAAGACGATTTTTTTACAAAGATCACATTTTATTCACTTGACAAATAATTAGATTGTTGAAACCGTAGAGCTCTTATTGATCATTTTTAATACCGCCGCTATTGGCAGTCGGTTAAACTTCTATTTTATACCAATAAAACCGCCAGCTGCTTAAATATATCCATGTTTACAATGCCAGTAAAATCAAAAACGCTTAGGAAATATGCATAAAAATTTATCAGAAAAATCTAGCACTTTTTGAAGCGAAAGTGGCTACGAGCCCAGGATTCCAAAGCTGTTGCTCAAAACCTGATGAAAGACATGTTTTCGCTAAATCAACTAAATCCTGGAATCTGCCTGTTTATGGTTTTCTCATGAAATTTAGGGGCTATGCGTCGCAAGGTTTTTAGGAGGATTTCGTGTATTTACGGGGAACGAAAATACCCGCAAAGTTCGTCTGGGCCGGCAATAGGATGGCTGGGGAGAGGGAGGTCAGGAATGGCCAGCTGGACCGAGGTGGGGGGTGAAGCCTCGAGGAGATGAAGGAGAGCCCAGACGGCACACATCGATCCAGGGATGGGGCCCAGAGAGGGACAAACAGAAAGAGAGAGAGAGAGAGGACACCTCACCACAACAACAACAAACACCACATTTCCGCTTCCTTGAGCTACCGGAGGGGAAGCCGTGTACCTTGGTGTGCGCTAGGAAATGAAGAGATGCAAAAAATACAGCGTTAAGCCGATGACGCAACGTGACGAAATTTGAGAAGCGTGGCGTGAGGGTTGATATTGGTGCCCTGGGGCTGTACTAAAGATCATAGGCATCAATGAGATTTTCGAGATTTTCGGATAAATTCCGCTGGTTCTATCTAAATGCGAAGGTGGTTTCCCTCATCATGAATTTTTTCGGAAATAGATTATTTTAATCCATATGATTTGATATTTTGCACACAAATCATTTCATTTCGTAAACATCGTTCTTCGCTTTTAATTTTATCTCTAAAGTTAAAAGGCTCGATCCCTTGCGTCATTGATAGTTTTTGCGTATTGGATGTTGCAATTAAATTTATACATTTCTAGGTTTTTAAGCAAATAAAAATCAGCTTTTGCAGCGTTTAAGAAGTTTTTCTATATGTTTAACTTTTCCCCCTAATATTTTAAAGGGTCCACATCTTAAAATTCATATAATCCTGCCAGGCTCGATAGCTTATATCGCTCGATATCATTTAATGGATGCTTTATACAATTCCATTCGAAAAATCCCAGAATTTCAAATTGCGTCATACGTCAACGAGAACAACAATCACGCCAAAAACCAATTCCGCTTTGACTTCTGGTAATGAGTATCCCTACAGACTATACAAGAAGCTATGAGAAAACTAAAAAAAAAATGTCGTGCGAAACAGAGGAATTTCCAAAGTTGTGTGCAGGGGTGTACCCCGGAATCACCGGGCTTTTCGGAAGCGGTGGCGATCGCCAGATCT